AGAGTGATGCCAGCAGAAGCTGCAGAACGCAGAGTTTTGGTGCGCTTTCAGAAAGTGCATCACACCCGCAAGATATATTAACCGTTTATGGCGAAGCGCAGGAACTGCATGGCTCGACGAGTTTTCTCACGCGTGAGGGAAACATGTATGTGCTGCCTTACACGCGACGTGCAGAAACACGTTGCGCCTGTACAGTGGGAACGGAGCCCTACCAGCTCACAGAACCTTTGTCAATATCTTCATTATTTTATTCTCTTTTTAATAGTACCCCAAATGCAGAAAAATGTGTGGGGAATTTTTTTTGGGCAAAAAAAAAAATGACTAACTGCATGTTTATTGAAAAAAAAAAAATGCACTAAGTTCAAAAAGGTGCATAAGTTGCTTTATGCGTGTCGTTTGGAAATGCCTATATAAGTGGCATTGATTGGCATGCTTTCACAAACCGCTGCAGCCTCAGTTTTGTTCAGTACTTGACAGGACATTAAGGCTCTGTTCCGAAAGCGCAGTTTTCATGCGATTCTGTATGATTCAGTTGAAATAGCTTGTCTCAGCTGGTACACTAATGATGCGAAAAATGAATGATTCACCAATCGAAACTTATGTTTGTTTGTTTTTCAACTCATCGTTTGGGCTGCCTTAACCGCCTCCTGCCCGCCATATAGTACAATGACGGGCGCAAAGCGGTTCTCGTTCTGGGAGGACGTCATATGACGTCCTCCCATTCTAAGCGCTCATGAGCGGCAATCGGCAGTGCACTGTGTCCCTCGAATATAGCGGATCACCGATCAACGGAAAGAGCTGAAGATGTCGGCTCGGTCATGTGATCAGCTGTGTCCAATCACAGCTGATCACATGTAAACAGGGAAATGCCGGATATCGGCATTTCTCTCCTCTCAAGCTGTCACGCTGACAGGAGAGGAGAGCCGGTAATCGGCTTTCTGCGGAGGGGAAATGTTCACTGATCGTCAGGGCACTGTAGCCCCAGCAGTGGCAGCTGTCAGTGTCCATCAGTGCTTTGTGTCAGTGCTCATTAGTGCCTCATGCCAGTGCCTATCTGAGCTGCCTTTCAGTGCCACCTATCAATGCCATGTATTAGTGCTGCCTTTCAATGCCCATCAGTGATGCCTGTCAATGCCCATCAGTGCCACCTATCAGTGCCCATCACTGCAGCCTCATTAGCGCATGTCAGTGAAGGAGAAAAATCACTTATTTACAAAATTTTATAACAAAAAATAAAAACTTTTTTTTTTTTTCAAAATTTTCAGTGGTTTTTGGTTTAAGAAAAAATAAACCCAGAGGTGATTAAATACCACCAAAATAAAACTCTGTCAGAAAAAAATGATAATTTCATATGGGTACAGTGTTGCATGACCGTGCAATTTTCATTTAAAGTGCAACAGCGCTGGAAATTGGCCTGGGCAGGAAAGTGGTATAAGTATCCTGTAGGCTAGCGGTTTAAAGTGTTACTAAACCCAGGATGCCGCGTTCGCTATATATCCGCTCTCCCCGGATGCCGCGTTCGCTATATATCCGCTCTCCCGGATGCCGCGTTCGCTATATATCCGCTCTCCCCCGGACGCCGCGTTCGCTATATATCCGCTCTCCCCGGACGCCGCGTTCGCTATATATCCGCTCTCCCCGGACGCCGCGTTCGCTATATATCCGCTCTCCCCGGACGCCGCGTTCGCTATATATCCGCTCTCCCCGGACGCCGCGTTCGCTATATATCCGCTCTCCCCGGACGCCGCGTTCGCTATATATCCGCTCTCCCCGGACGCCGCGTTCGCTATATATCCGCTCTCTCCCCGGACGCCGCGTTCGCTATATATCCGCTCTCCCCGGACGCCGCGTTCGCTATATATCCGCTCTCCCCGGACGCCGCGTTCGCTATATATCCGCTCTCCCCGGACGCCGCGTTCGCTATATATCCGCTCTCCCCGGACGCCGCGTTCGCTATATATCCGCTCTCCCCGGACGCCGCGTTCGCTATATATCCGCTCTCCCCGGACGCCGCGTTCGCTATATATATCCCTCTCCCCGGACGCCGCGTTCGCTATATATCCGCTCTCCCCGGACGCCGCGTTCGCTATATATCCCGACGCCGCGTTCGCTATATATCCGCTCTCCCCGGACGCCGCGTTCGCTATATATCCGCTCTCCCGGACGCCGCGTTCGCTATATATCCGCTCTCCCCGGACGCCGCGTTCGCTATATATCCGCTCTCCCCGGACGCCGCGTTCGCTATATATCCGCTCTCCCCGGACGCCGCGTTCGCTATATATCCGCTCTCCCGGACGCCGCGTTCGCTATATATCCGCTCTCCCCGGACGCCGCGTTCGCTATATATCCGCTCTCCCCGGACGCCGCGTTCGCTATATATCCGCTCTCCCCGGACGCCGCGTTCGCTATATATCCGCTCTCCCCCGGACGCCGCGTTCGCTATATATCCGCTCTCCCCCGGACGCCGCGTTCGCTATATATCCGCTCTCCCCGGACGCCGCGTTCGCTATATATCCGCTCTCCCCGGACGCCGCGTTCGCTATATATCCGCTCTCCCCGGACGCCGCGTTCGCTATATATCCGCTCTCCCCGGACGCCGCGTTCGCTATATATCCGCTCTCCCCGGACGCCGCGTTCGCTATATATCCGCTCTCCCCGGACGCTGCGTTCACTATATCTCTGGTTCACTATATCTAGTCTCCCACAGTACACACAACATGGAAATGCAATTATTTTAGGAAATATAAACTGCTAAATACCTTTTCTCATCAGCAGTATATCATGATTTCCATCAGTGTCCAGCTGAGCACTGATGAAAGCTTGTAGTTGGAGTTTTCATTTTTCTCTAGGAGGATGCAGGTTCCCTGACCTCTGTCTGGGCAGTGCTGATTGGCCCTGTGCTGATCACATTTACTCTCCCAAGAGGCAAAAAACCTCTAGCAATAAACACCAAACTTAGCATGTGTAGAGTGACTCCACACGATAGGTCTTATCAGGGGATTGGAGGGGCACATTGGAAGAAGGGGAGGATCAGAGAAGACAGGATCAAACCGCCTTTTTACACAATGCAGAGGATTAACCCCTTAGGTTCCACACTAAGTATAACGAGCATGCTTTACTGCATATACAGACTGATTGTACTGTTGTGGGTTTAGTAACCCTAAAAAATGAAATACATTATATTTTTGGTGTGTGGTGCTCGGATGCAGTGCAGTTCCACATTAAACACTTGCGTGACTTGCACTTTTTTTTTTTTCTGCAATACAGGCTTGTAAGGCGATCACAGCCCGATTAATTCTCATTGGTCGTCTTGGAGGGCGAGGCAACCATGTCTGACCATCAGGGAAGCTATACGTATGACGTTCCTAGCTGCAACTTCGGTGACGATGATAAGAATATAGACTCCTGGTTTGGTAAGGCATTTTAGGGAAAAAAAATACTTTAAAATGAAAATGACTAATAAATACAAACGTCAGTTTCTTGCCTGAAAATCCTCACCGCTTCAGGTTTTCTAGAATCTTGCTGCTGCCACCTTTTTTGCATTATTGGTGAACCCCTATGAACCCCCTATGAACAGCGAGGTACAGACGGGCTTTCCTTATTTTACAACACAATCACAGACAACTTCCCAGGCAATACAGTGAAAAAATGCCATTAAAGCGGAGTTACACCTGAAGAAGAGAAAAAAAAAAAAGCTGAATTTTTTGTAAAACCTGGAATGTACTAATTGTCCATGATATGTTACAGATCAGGTTGCAGATACAGAAAATGTCCCTCCAGAGTCTATGATCATACAGAACCCTGAAAGTGAGAACATAGCACAAGCAGGTGAGAGTGCAATCTGTCACGTGACCTGTGTGTATTTTTTAGATTCTATATATAATATTTTCTTGTGTCCTTTCATAGGAAATGGGGTCGCCTATAATGGAGGAAGTGCCAAAAAACAGCAGACTCCAAAGACGCAAGCCAGGAGGTGGGGTGTGGTCTGCAAATTTGTATTTATTTTATATTTTTTCCTAAAGGCATGAATTCACAAATTTGTGCTTTTTGAAAAATTCACTTATGGCTGAAGCATGATTGTTTCATTTAGAATAAATCGCTAAGTATACTTTTACCTGCTCTGGAAATCTTCTGTGCTACTGTCAGATCATCTGTTAACCACATCCGGACCGCCTTATAGCAGATATACTGCTACAGGGCAGCATGGGGTGCGCAAAATCACGCGTGTGTGTGTATATATACGCGATTTTGTATTTCCGGGTAGGGGGCGCATGTGAGCCCTAACCGTATCGCCATTCACGGCTGCCAATCACCAGGTCCCAGCCGATGATTACCCGCTGGCGCCCAGTGAGTACAGATTATCTCCGGGGAGGAGGGCTGCTTAGTTTACTAACAGTCCTCCCTGTCGGCTCGGACACACTGCTCTGGATGGCTGTGCAGTGTGATTACAGTAAAGCCTACACACGCACACGGTTAACCCTTTAATTGCCCCCTAAGTTAACCCCTTTCTGCCCAGTGCTGTTAGTACAGTGTCAGTGCCATTTGTAAACGCTATAACTTACACATAAACCAATTAATTTACACATATTGGGATTTTTAATTTTTTTTTTTAAGCAAAGGTCGAGGCGACTAGGAATGGAAGTAGAGGGAATTTTGAGTCAAAAGGGTAACAAAACACACACACAAAAAAAGTGTGGCCATGGTTTTTAGGGTGAAACGCTTTAATTATTCAGTCGTCCTGTTTGGTTGTCTTAATTTGAAAATTTCCCGAACTAATTTTATGACTACATGTTTTTAAGGTCTTCTAAGCGTTTATCAGCTCAACAGAGGAACCGCCAAATGGCAAAAATCAGAGCTGAACGAAAGAAAGTGACTCCCAAGCAAGAGCAACCACCTTTGAAGAAACCGAAATTGTACGTGTTTTACGAAAGCAAAATCTTTTGGGAAAATTTTGGTGCTCTGAATGTTATCCTTTTTTAATTTTGTTTATTTTTTTCAGAGCTAGATGCAAATCCACAGACACTACAATAAACAGAGGTCTATCGGCAAGCGTTGCTGAAGGGTCCCCGAAGCCAAGGGCCAGAATAACTTTGCCCTCCACTCCCACAGTTCTTAAGTAAGACACAGGGGTGCTAACATTTAGGACTTTCATGTGAACTTGAGCGCTATTCATGAAGTGTCAGCAACAGATTTACTTAACCCCTTGATGCCGAGCGCACGCAAATATGCCGCCTCTCGGCGTCTGGGCCTTGACGCCGGGCGGCCGCGTATTTGCGTGTCATTAGAAAATACATGTGCGCTGAGAGCGCGCGCCCTGCACGCTCTCAGCACATATGTCCGTGACTCACGGAAAGGTACCAATCTCCCCTTGCGATCGGGACCTTTTCCAATCATGTGACAGCAAATCACGGGGGTCACATGACCCTAAAACCCCGGCTTGTAAAAACTGACAATGGGCTGGGAGGCGCCGGCACAAAGTGGTTAAAAGCTCAACTCCAATGATTTATCATCCACGATTTACCTCTGTCAAGCCACAAATCCATTGAGTTCAACTTTTTTTTTTTTTTTTTTTTTTTTTGTAATTTAGCAGTTTAAAGAATGAGAAATCTGTTCTTAGTATTTTATCATATTTCTTATCTGATATCTGAAGGGGGGGGGGGGTGTTCTCCTCATGTCATGTTGCTTTTTAGCGCTACATTTCCCGTGATTACTGGCCACTGTTTTTCTGTTTTTGGGTCGAGTGGGAACAGGGGAGGCAAAGCAGGAGCAAGGCAAGTGGGTTGAATATATCAGGATCCTAATACTGCCCACAACACTTCAGCACTGTTATACTGACAAACTCGTCAGAGGAAAACTAATGGTGAAAGGACTGGTCCCAGTGCAGATAACCAACAGAAAAATGTCTACAGTCTCCAGTTCAGAAATTGTTGAAAGTGCAAGTAAACGGTTATGAGAGTGAGTTTGGCTGTATGCCTCACGACTATTGTGTGGAGGGTATGGCGCAAAGAGGCACATTGTAGGCAATACATTGTTCACAAGAACTAGTGATCCCTTTAGAAGATTTCCCTTCAAATATTATATATAATAACAACCCAAAATTTGGGGGTTTTATTTTACTTGCTCTTTTGAGCAATTAAACAGGACAAATAAAGAGGGTGAGTCTTCGTAATGAGGCAGAGGTAGCATTGTGTGTTACATGTATCTGCGGTGGGTTTTTTTTTGTTTTGTTTTGTTTTTGTTTGTCCCCCCCAACTGGGGAAAAAAGCACTTCCCACAAGTTCATTGTGATTTTGCTCATGTCGTTTCCATCCATTGCAATGGAGGGATGCTTTGCTCAAGGAAAAAAAAAAAAAAAAAAAAGCAGGATTTGTACAAATAAAAAATTGCAGCACAATGGACCAGTGTGAACAGCTCTATAAGATTTGAAGGGATGCCTTTTTTTAATTTTATTTTTTTTTTTACCTGAGCAGAAACGGATCAGTGTGAAATCAGTCTGGATACATTTCTACATGCACATTGACGTGTTCTGGTGTTTTTTTTTTTTCTGGAAATGGAATGCACTGGAACTGCAAGTACTGGTGTGAACATTGTTATTGGCAATCATGTAACCTACTTTCTGTGCATTTTGCATGCAGAAATGTAGTGTGAACCAACCCCTAAAGAGAGCTCTTAGCCTTGCGTATTAAGCTCCATGTCAGCTTTGATGCCAGATGTATAGATCAGGGGGTAAGATTACCCAAAGGTATGTAGGATGACCAATTTTATTTTTAAATTGCAAACCACACTCTCCTCAAAGACCATAAAGGGGTACCTGTTAATGTGGAATTTTTTACTCTTTCTTTTGCATTTGAAATGTTGCCTGAAATTGTTATTGTTTCGCCAGACGCAAACATTTTACTCAGAAGGCTAAGAACACAGAGGAGCAAGAACTTGAGAAAGTGCAGCAGCTTCAGCAGGAACTGGCTGAGAGGCTGAAAAAGAATGAGGAGTCCTTGAAATCTGCCTTAGCAGGAGGTTAGCGTGTTTTTATGTTTTACCATAACTCAGCTTCTTGGTAGTACAATAAAACCACAAAATGTCTCCCGTGGGACTTTGCAGCAACATTAATACAGTAAAGAACATTTTTTTTTTTTTTTTTTTATTCAAAAATCTTAACCCAATTAAAAAAAAAAATCAGAATTTATTATATTTACATAAGTCTCTCAGTAAAAGACTGTTAGTCTTGTCTGGATGACTCCAATGTTATACAATTATGATACACTTCTATACCATACAGTATAAATGTCAGATGTGTCCGCAATGGACATTATGCCACAGTTAGCCAGAAAATGCCATATATACTGTGGTATAATAAAAGGTTTATCTCCAAAGTGAAATGGCTACAAGATAAACATGAGGGTTACAGTATCATGTCAGTTTCCAGATCTGCATAGAGTTTAGTGTCCTTTCTCCACTATATATGGCATTTTCTAGCTAACAGTGGTATAATGTCCATTGTGGACACATCGACGTTTTATACTGTATGGTATAGAAGTGTATCATAAGACAGTTGTATGTAACATTGGAGTCCTCCAGACAAGATTGTAACTGTCTTTTATTGGAAGACTTTTATGTAAATAGAATTTAAATTCTGATTTTTACGATTTCGATTTTTTTTAATTTTTGAATAAAAATACTGTTGTAATAATGTTGCTGCTAAAGTCCCAGCGGAGACATTTTGTTGTCTTGTTGTGTTAGTAAGGGATGTAGCCACATGATATTCACAATACCATCACCCCTCTATGCACAGGTGTACCTCGGTTTATGAATTTAATGCGTTCTCCAGGACGTTTCGTATTGTGAAAAATTTGTAAACCAAAATGCGGTTTCCCATAGGAATGCATTGAAAACCAATTAGTCTGTTCCAGAGGTCAGAAAAAAGTAAAAAAAAAAGTCTGTTCAAAACTTTTATAAAGAGGACTTTTTAAAGGCATAAATACTGTACAGAGACATGATTAAAAATGTGTAAATTAACTGAAAACCAATTAATTCGTTCCGGAATTGCATTTAAAAATCGGCACCGACGTGCACTTCGTATTGCGTAAAAAAATTAGTAAACCGAGGGATTATTTTCAATGGATTTTCATTTGTAAAGCAAAAATTGCAGCCTGTATATTGCTTCTTAGTAGTAGTATAAAACGAAGACCGTGTGAGTGCAGGCTGCAGTTTATGGTACATTTTGGGGACTCGTTAAACAGTGGCCCTCCTGACAGTACACTCTGCTTGAAGCCAATTTAAAAAGCAAAACAGTTCAGTGGTATCCTTGGTTAAATGGTTAAAGCGAAGGTACACTGCATATGAGCATCAAACCAAAAATACTATTTACTATATTTTACTTTTTAATATTCAAAACAAACTATCCAATCTGTGTCTCCATGCTTTTTTTTTTTTTTTTTTTTTTTTTTTTTTGTGCAGAAATAATTTTTGAAAATCAGTCCTCATACAATTTCTGGCCGTGGCCATCATGTGTAACGGCGGATGATTCCTATAGCATTTTACTTCCTGGAATCCATCTGCCCTTAGCTCAGGCAAGCAGGCAGGAGGGTGTGCTTAGCTGACAAAAACCCTTACTGACGACTCCTGGGATGTTTAACATAATTTGCCTAGGCCTGGAAACCAGGAAGTAACTGAAGAAATGTGTTTTTAAAGAAAAAAAAAAAAAAACCTTAATAGAAGCAAATATGAAATGCATTCCTGTGTATTAATGCTAGCAGCGAAAGGATTAAAAATAATGAATATTGATAGTTAACATTGTTTGAGAGTGTGGAGTTTCACTTTAATAGAGATGTGACCCCAATTTTGTACCTGCAAAAGAGTAATTCTGCTACAGCCTGTGCTGCTTTCTTGGTAAAACTGTTCCTAAAGTGTTGCATAGATTAATTTTGGGGCATCTAAAATGTTTAACTTTGTCTTTTGTGAATGAGATCCTACTTTTTTTTTTTTTTTTTTTTTGCATTCTTAGATCAACCAATAAAGAGGGTTCCCATTCAAGCTACAAAGCCGGTGGACTTCCACTTCCACACCGATGACCGTCTGAAACGGCATCCAAATGAACACCCAGCAGAATATAAACAAGTCGATTTTACTTCTGAACTTAGAAAGCATCCACCATCTCCGGTGAGACCTTCAAGAATTTGTACTTGTTATCTCTTAATGGAGAGCTCCAGGTAATATAGCTAGAAAGGGACAGCAGGATGTATTACACTTGGATCCCACTGTCCTTTTTTTAAAATTTTTGATTTCCTGGAGTTGTAGGAAAATGGTATGTATTTTGCACGTAATTTTTACATCTGCTATCATGTGAGCAGGTTAAAATATATTCCTATTTGCCACATTAAAAATTGCACTCTCCACGATTTTATTCTCTAAGGCCTGTACTTTCCGAAAATATATAGAATTGTTTGAAGTAATCTAGCAAAAAAGATATTTAACTGATGCTTTTACCCTTTCAGTCCCTTCCCCACTGCAAGGAAAGGGTGGAAGAATTTTAATGATGGGTTTGCTTTTATTTAAGGTTTCTTTTGTTGTAAATGTTAATCCTTTTTTGTTCCTTTCTGATAGGCAAATAAATTGGGCCGCACTGTGCCCAAACCCTTCAACCTCTCCAAAAGTAACAAAAGGAAACACGAAGACACTAGTGGAGAGTACACATCCACTGCTGAGCAAGTCTTGGCTTTCCAAAAAAGAACCCCGCAACGATTTCACCTGCGCAGCCGGCAGAAGGAGATGGAAGGTAAATGAGTGGTAAATTTTGATATTTAGAGTGTTTCTGTTCTTCATGGGGAGCATTACTTCAATGGCCTTATGGAGGTTTTTTTTTTTTTTTTTTTTTTTTTCCTCGTGTTGTGGAATAAAAATACACTTCGATTTCGTACCATGTCAGTCGGGTATAATAATAAGTTGCCCATTTGGCTTCATTTCTGCATGGCCTCTTTTGATTCCTAGGACCATCGCCAGTGAAACCACTGAAGGCCAGGGTGACTCTGCCAAAGACCCCACAGCTTCAGACAAAGCAGCGACTCCGGCCACCAACTTGCAAGAGTTCCGCTGAGGTTGAAGCAGAAGAACTTGAGAAGCTACAGCAGTGAGTAGTCAGGAGTCAGGAGTTTGAAAACTTCAAGCCTAATAATAATAATTTTATTATACAGGATTTATAAAGCGCCATTAGTTTGCTCAGCGCTTTACATTATAAAGGGAAGACCATACTGTTCAGTACAAGAGTGTTAGGAGAGCGCTGCTCCTTGGAGCTTACAATCTAAGAATTCTAATGGAACTCAAAGTAAAGACCACAAGGTCCAAATCCTACTAGGTAAAGATAGTGTCATCACGTGGAAGGCTAGTCAATACAGTACATGGGTGTGAAAAAAATCTTTAAAAGATAAGGGACTTCTGAATTGTCAGGGGTTGAGACAAAGCAGCTTGTTTCCTGACCACTTATATACAACTAATCATGCTGTCTGCTCACACCTTCTTTAACTTTGTAGGAGAGTGGGGGGAGGGTGGTGTTAATATGCAATATGATTTATATGCATTGACGGGACTATCTCTAAAATTGCAGATAAAAGCGAGCACAAAAAATTCCCCCCCCCCCTTCTTTTTTTTTTTTTTTTTTTTTTTTTTTTTTTGAAGCATGACTACTTGGGACCTTCACCCTAAACTAATTTTCATTTTGCTCCACCTGCCCCCTTACATTTTGAATTTTTTTTTTTTTTTTTTTTTTTTTTTTTTTTTTTTTTTTTTTACAAGCAATTGCACAGCTTTCTTAGGCAGGTATATTATTCTGTGCATGCACAGATGTGCCACAGGGTTTCATGTCTCAACAGAGCCCTGCTGTTTTCTACGCATGCGCCAAAGATTATGGAAGTTCCAAAACCTTCTCGTGTTTGCACATGTGCATTGAAATCTCTTGCATCTGCTTAAGAGTTGAAGGACTCTGCCAGGACCAGAAGGTCAGGCAGAGCCCTTGGCACATATGGTGATGCCGAAGGCAGGGGGTGGTGTTTAATTGCTCTCTATTCTGGCCTGGCTCCTCAGCTGCTCCCTCTGTTATCCTTCCTTTAGCAGCGGGGTGGGGGGGGGGGAGAGAAGGGCAGTATTTTAGTGTCACTTTAGTGATGGCTTGAAAGCTGCTATTACCTTCAAGATGGCAGGCTTTGGGGCTTTTTGATGTTTGCCCAAGGGTGGCTTTTACAATAAATACACATACCCGTGCTTGTTTTTTTGCTTTATCTTTTACTTTTATAGGGCTTTATTATACTAGCATTTGAAAATATTGATATTCTTGCCCAACCATGTTAACTCACATGTCGTTGCATTAGATACAAATTCAAAGCCCAAGAGCTTAATCCAAAGATTTTGGAGGGTGGACCACTCCTGCCAAAAAAGCCCACTGTTAAAGAACCCACCAAGGCAGTCGGCTTTAATTTGGAGATAGAAAAACGAATTCAACAACGTGAGAAGAAAGATGAAGAAAACGAGGAAGCGTTCACTTTCCATTCCAGGCCATGTCCCATGAAGATTTTACAGGATGTAGTGGTGAGTACTCTGCAGTTAGAATGGAGGGAGTTAGTTAAAGTGTAATGTCTTATGGAAGATTAGCCCAATGGACACCAGCCTGTTGGAATGGGGGGGGGGGGGGGGGGTAGTCTTGTGCATCAGCATGGTGGTCTTGGTTATCAGAGAAATCTAATCTCCCGATTTTTAAACAACTTTAGTGCTTCAAGCGATTTTTAGAATTTTTAGACCAACTTGCTGGAGATCCATCTGATCTAAATCCAGTCAGAAAATGTCACAGCAGTGGTGCACATCATCCACCAGGGTGGAGCTAGAAGTCTCACTGTGGTAAGAGAGGGCAAATCCTGTCCTGGACAGAACTGTATGTTCCATCTATTGACAACTGTGTAAATTCACATCTAGGCGATCCAAGCGTAAGCTGGAATGGGTATCTTTCCGCTAGCTACACACACCCTACAAAAAAAAATTCCAATACAAGCAGAGGAGGGTGGGGAGGGAGGACAATTCATTGGTGCTTCCTTTTTATTAAGTGACATTCTGCTTTTACTTTTTCTCACCCTGATTGACAAACAGGAGAGAGGTCCTGTATCCTTTTTAAAAGTAACCCAAACTGCCTCCTGGGCTGCATCCCTTAACTAATCGGATGTATTCATGGGGTATTGTTTATTCCCCTTGTCCTCTCCAAGTTACTACCATAGCTTAATTTGGAGGAATAGGCACAAAAATGTATCTCCACGTTTTGCGTTTTTTCCAGTGACGAAGGCCCATGCAAGACTTAAGACATTTTTCACACTGATCTGCAGCAAAAATAAATATGCAGTTGTGCTGTGATTGTACAGCTCTGGCAGTGCATTTTTCATAGAACATGTGACTCAAATGCAACGCAGCTGCGTTTTTTTTTTGAGGGTTTTTTTTTTTTTTTTTTTTTTTTTGTTTGTTTTTTTTTTTTATGGAAACACTTTTCAAAACATCCTTTTTTTTAGTATGAAAGCGGCCTTAATCATTGAGGGTGATTGCACAACTTGTAAATGTAATTTGAAGAAAACTTACTGAGATCTCTTCTTGAAAGGCCTAGTTGTTAAGGGAGGGATTTAAAATGTATTCCTTTTTTGCAGCTTTTAACAAAGAATGTCTGTCTTTTTGTTTTTTTAATAAATTTTCCTGTGTTCTTTAGGGGGTTCCTGATAAGAAATTGCTTCCAGTAACTATGCCACAATCTCCAGCTTTTGCACTAAAGAACAGAATTCGTATGGTGTCCCCTGAGGAGTCAAAGGTAAGTGCAGGTCATCACCTTGGATCTAGGATCTAAGGGGCTCCACTGGAACACGGGTATCATTTTTAGATGTATAACACAGGCACAATGAGGTGTCTTTAGTTAAACAGTTTTTTTTTGTTACGTCAGGCATTTTTTTTTAGGCAAGGTTCTCTTGAATTCTTCACAGGAATTTGGTTTTCCAGCACAAGAACTTTCCTCCGTATCTGGAAAATGTGTTCTTGTTTTACAGGAGGAGTTAGTCCCTGTTATCAAAGCCAATCCAATGCCTTATTTTGGAGTGCCTTTCAAGCCAAAATTAGTGGAGCAGAAACCAGTCGAAGTGTGCCCATTTTCATTTAGTGAACGTGATCGGCACAGGATGGAAGAGAAGGCGAGAAAACTAGAGGAACGCCGAAATGCAGAAGTAAGTAATTTGGGCTGTTTAAATTGGAATTGCCATCTCCCCCCCCCCCCCCCCCCCCCCCCCCCTTTTTTTTTTTTTTTTTTTTTTTTTTTTTTTTTTTTTAATATAAAATCGATTCTGAACATGTTGTTTTAATAATCCAGCCTCCCAAGTTCAAGGCTCAGCCTCTACCTGATTTCGATCACATTAGTCTTCCTGAGAAAAAGGTGAAGGAGCGAACGCAACCAGAACCGTTTAAGCTGGAAATTGATAAACGAGGAGAGGCAAGGCTTCAAGTTTGGAAACATCAGGTGAGGATAGAGTTAAAGAATACCTCTTCCCATAACATTGAAAAGGAAATTGTAACATCTTGTATAGCAGTGGTCTCCAAACTGCGGCTCGGGGCAGGATGTGGAGCCAATTGATGGGGCTCTCTCCCCCTCCCCCCGATACCAAAGGTGCGTTGTTTACTCCGGGACAATTTCTACTCCAAATGCCTGCAGTCTGGCCCCCTGAAAGTCTGATGGACAGTAAACTGGCCCTGTGTTTAGAAATTTTGGAGACCCCTGCCTTCCCGGTTTACAGGGTTGCCAAGTATGCTACCTATAACTGTACATGCTTTTCAGCCAAGAAGAGTTGCACGTTTTGTACATTTTTAGTAAATCCTAATTAGAGGGGAGCTGAATCCGTGGTGGGTGAGGTTTTTCCATAATCTGTAACACAGGTACACAACTAGTGCAAACAGGAAGTGCCTGAACAAAGGATTTTAGTAATTGGTTTTGGACCCACTTTGAGTGTGTCTCCCTCCTGTCCAGGTTGAAGAGGAAGTTAAACAGCAGAAGGAAATGTCTATGTTCAAAGCGCGGCCTAATACTGTAACCCACCAAGAGCCATTTATGCCTAGGAAGGAAAGTCGAGTCCTGACCGGTGAGTTCAGCCCTCTCTGTTACTTTGAATCCATTTTCTTGACTGACACAAATGTCTGTTACACATTACTGCACCCTTTTTTCTGGTATGGTTTTCTAGGTACTTGGTTATGAGGAACTCCTATTATGGAACACTGCTAATAGGCCATGCTTTATGGTTTGGTTTATTGAAAAACCAATAAATCTGTGAAAAGGATAATGACCCACAAGCAGTGTCCTCCTTTTTTCTCCTTGTTGCACCAATTTTTCTCGTTTTTTTGTTTCTAAACTTAGAGAGCCTTTCTGGTTCCATAGTTCAGGAAGGCTTTGAGTTGGCAACAGAGAGGCGCGCTAAAGAGCGCCAGGAGTTTGAAAAGCGTCTGGCAGAGCTGGAGGCCCAGAAAAGCCTTATGGAAGAAGAGGAACGTAGGCGGCAGGAAGAGGAGGAAAAGGAGGAGATCAACCGGCTAAGACAAGACGTGGTAGGTATCTCACATGCGTGGCATTAAAATTGAATTCCATTTAATCACAAATACATATGAGAACTATTACTCTTACTTGCCATTGGGTATTTCCCCTCTTAATATTCTTAAGTATTACCGTATATACTCGAGTATAAGCCGAGTTTTTCAGCACATTTTTTGTGCTGAAAAACGGCCCCCTCGGCTTATACTCGAGTCAACGTCTGCAAATGACATGCCGTCCCTGTCATCTGGACACACCCCCCGGGATCAATCCTCGCCTGCTCCCTCCCTCTCCCATGGTACACACTTACCGGTCAGATGTCTTCCTTCTCCGGCCGCTCTCCTCCTCTTCACTCGCTCGATCTTCGCGGTGCCGCTCGGCTCCTCCTCTCCAAGCTCCACCTCCTCGCCGGTGATTGGGCGCCTGTGTGCCTCTCCTGAGCTACAGTTCCGGCGGCCATCACCGGCGAGGAGCTGGAGCTTGGAGAGGAGGAGCCGAGCGGCACCGCGAAGATCGAGCGAGTGAAGAGGAGGAGAGCGGCCGGAGAAGGAAGACATCTGACCGGTAAGTGTGTACCATGGGAGAGGGAGCGAGCGAGCCCAGGCTGGAGCAGGGGTCACCAACGATGGGGCACTATTTCTCCCACACTGACACCAACGACGGGGCACTATTCCTCCCCCCCCACTGACACCAACGACGGGGCACTATCCTCCTCCCCCCCCACTGACACCAACGACGGGGGCACGATTCCTCCCCCCCACTGACACCAACGACGGGGCACGATTCCTCCCCCCCACTGACACCAACGACGGGGCACGATTCCTCCCCCCCCACTGACACCAACGACGGGGCACGATTCCTCCCCCCCACTGACACCAACGACGGGGCACGATTCCTCCCCCCCACTGACACCAACGACGGGGCACGATTCCTCCCCCCCACTGACACCAACGACGGGGCACGATTCCTCCCCCCCACTGACACCAACGACGGGGCACGATTCCTCCCCCCCACTGACACCAACGACGGGGCACGATTCCTCCCCCCCACTGACACCAACGACGGGGCACGATTCCTCCCCCCCACTGACACCAACGACGGGGCACGATTCCTCCCCCCCACTGACACCAACGACGGGGCACTAGTTTTTCCCAGTTTTTTGTGGTAAAATTAGGTATGTCGGCTTATATTCGGGTCGGCTTATACTCAAGTATATACAGTACTTGTAGTATTCTTGAGTATTACTTGTAGTTACTGAATTTCTTCTAGCAACTTTCCTTGCTGCGCTCTAGCCACAGCAGCATTTTGTGCAGTTTCTTGGATGAGTGTCCCATGGTGAACGCGTTTAAGAATTGTACTTGCCCCCACTGGGTGCTGAGGGATATTTCCCTGTTGCATTTTACAGGACCAGAAGTGAAGTAAAATCTCCCCAATGGGGACATCAATGGGGAAAAAAAAATTTTGCTAGTCGCTGCTCTATCCAAAAGGAGCAAAACGTTGTTTGGACTATGGAAAATCTTGAACGCTCAGCTTTTATGTGTATTTATTTATTTTTTAGGTCCACAAGGCTCAGCCTGTCAGGAAGTTCAAACCTATGGATGTCAAAACAAGTGATCTTCCCCTCACCGTTCCCAAATCCCCTAATTTTTCTGACCGATTTAAGATTTGATCTGAAAATTGCACCTGGTATTGCAAGTTTGTAAAGATGTTTGAGGTGTACTGTGCCTCCGAGAAGAAATGTTACTGAGGGGAAAAGAAGAAAAAAGAAACCATATTGGGGTAGAGAAAAGAAAAATGTAGGTTTAAAAGGTTTGCCTTTTAAGTATTTTTGGGAAATGTGCAAATACTAATGGGGTTAATGTAAAGTGTCTGTAAATAGTAGCCATAACCTTTTGGTTTTGTTCTTAAACATTTTGATTTAGTGTACAGTTCATTTTTTTTTTTTTTTTTTTAATAAACCTATATTAAATTCCCATGTGGGCCTTATTATTTTTTTTCTCCTTATCCTCCATTTTTATTTTGTGAATGGTTACCTCATTTCAACTCAGTGCACACTGGTTTTGGATTGTTTTTTTTTTTTTTTTTTTTTTTTTTTTTTTTTTTCTTTTATGGTTTTTTATTTTTACTCTTCAGGAAAACAGACAAAAAAAAAAACAATCTTTGAGCTGCTTTACCTGCCATTTGTATTTCTTTCCAGTCCTGAGATGTCTAGCAGAGAAAAGTCAGATCTTATGTTCTGCCAAAGTAACACATATATACACACACCTCCTGGTCTCTCTCAGCCTGTGATTTGACAATGAAAGGAGGGGCAGCAGACTGATCTCCTCTCTCCTCCTCCTATCAGCACATGATCAAAGCAGCACAAGTCTCCTTGTGCAGCTCTGATATTTTCCAATCAGATCTGTAATTAAAGGGATATTCATAACTGCTTGTTTTAAGTCTTTACCTTTAACATTGAACTCCAAGTACACAGTAATCTACCATACTTGATACAGGTTTTTTGTTTACGGTGTGTGTGTGTATGTGTATATATATATATATATATATATATATATATATATATATATATATATATATATTTGTTTATTTGCAATTAAAAAAAAAAAAAAAAAAAACATTTGTCTGTGGCACCTACATTTTCAAAGAGATTTTAATATCTCAATTAACTATTTCCAAATGTTGGACAAAACTGAGGTCGATAGAACATTTGTTTAGCTCATTACATGAAAGTAAAGTTAATAATATACCGTATTTGCCGGCGTATAAAGACTTTTTGACCCTTGAAAATCTTCTCAAAAGTCGGGGGTCGTCTTATACGCCGGTACACATGTTAGGGGGGGCTGCGGCATTAAGTACAGGGGTTTGCAGGGGCTGACGTCTCTTACCTGGATCCAGTCCCACGACGATCCGGTCCAGGAAGCGCGGCGTCTCCTTCAGTTCGGCCACTGGATGTTCGTGCGGCTGTGCGGCTCCGCCTCCTCACCGGTGATTGGCCGCCAGAACTGTAGCTCAGGAAAGGCACACAGGCGGCCAATCACCGGCGAGGGGGCGGAGCCGAGCGGCCCCGCGAAAATTGAGTGCCGGAGCAGCAGGTAAGTGCTCTGTGTAGAGGTGCTGCTGCAACCACATATGCTGGCTGCAGCAGCACCATACGAGAACAGGGTCAGCAAGTCTCAGTGGGAGGAATAGTGCCCCATCATTGGTGTCACTGATACCAATGATGGGGCACTATTCCTCCCACTGATACCAACGATGGGGCACTATTCCTCCCACTGATACCAATGATGGGGACACTATTCCCCCCACTGATACCAAACGATGGGGCACTATTCCTCCCACTGATACCAATGATGGGGCACTATTCCTCCCACTGATACCAACGATGGGGCACTATTCCTCCCACTGATACCAATGATGGGACACTCCCCCCCACTGATACCAACGATGGGGCACTATTCCTCCCACTGATACCAATGATGGGGCACTATTCCTCCCACTGATACCAACGATGGGGCACTATTCCTCCCACTGACACCAATGATGGGGCACTATTCCTCCCTGGGGCACTATTCCTCCCACTGACACCAACGATGGGGCACTATTCCTCCCACTGACACCAATGATGAGGCACTATTCCTCCCACTGACACCAACGATGGGACACTATTCCTCCCACTGATACCAACGATGGGACACTATTCCTCCCACTGATACCAACGATGGGACACTATTCCTCCCACTGATACCAATGATGGGACACTATTCCTCCCCCCCACCCAACGATGGGGCACATTCCCCCCCCCCACTGACACCAACGATGGGGCACTATTCCTCCCCCCCACTGACACCAATGATGGGGCACTATTCCACCCCTCACTGACACCAATGATGGGGCACTATTCCTGCCACTGACACCAATGATGGGGCACTATTCCTGCCACTGATACCAATGATGGGGCACCTATTCCTCCCACTGACATCAATGATGGGGCACTATTCCTCCCACTGGTGTGCATTGGAAGAGGGGTAGTCTTATACGGCGAGTATAGCCCAAACACTACATTTTAGCAGGAAAAGTAGGGGGGTCGTCTTATACGCCCAGTCGTCTTATACGCCGGCAAATACGTAACTTGATTACAAAATCTTCAGTTTTTTTTACTCAGATTAGTTAATGTAAAAACAACTCCACCCCACAACAAAAACTACATACATCTAAATATTTTGTATGACCTCCATAATTTGTAAGGATGGCACCAAGTCTTCTAGGCATGGAAAGAACGAGCTGGAGACAGATGTTGCAATATATCTTATTCCATTCTTTAACCACTAGCCTACCGGGCACTTAAACCCCCTTCCTGCCCAGGCCAATCGCCAGCTTTCAGTGCTGTCACAGTTTGACAATTGCGCGGTCATGCAACATTGTACCCATATGAAATTTTAATAATTTTTTTGTGACATAGCTTTATTTTGGTGGTATTTAATCACCTCGGTTTTTTTATTTTTTTTCTTAAACCAAAAATCACTGAAAATTTTGAAAAGTTTTTTTTCTTAGTTTTTGTTATAAAATTTTGCAAATAAGTGCTTTTTTTTTTTTTTTTTCTCTTTCACTGATATGTGCTAATGAGGTTGCTGATGTTGCACGAGGCTGATGAGCACTGGCACGAGGCGCTGATGAGCACTGGCACGAGGCGCTGATGAGCACTGGCACGTGCTGCTGGGGCTACACTGATGATCAGGGCACACTGATCATCAAGTGCCCTGATGATCTGTGTAGATGTCCCCTCCGAGGAATGCCGATAACCGGCATTTCCCTGTTTACATGCGATCAGCTGTGATTGGACACAGCTGATCACATGACCGAGCCGACATCTTCGGCTCTTTCTGTGATTGGTGATCCACTGTGTCTGAGGGACACAGCGCACCGCCGATTGCCGCGCTCCCTGAGCCGTGCATGTGCGTTGAGAATGGGAGGACGTCATATGACGTCCTCCCAGAACGAGAGAACCGCCTTGCGTCCGTGATATTACTATAGGGCGGGTGGGAGGTGGTTAAACTCTTAGAGGCTGGATGGAGAGTGATGCTCCGCTTCTCTTCAGAATTCTCCATAGGTGTTCGATCGGGCTTACATCAGGAAACATACTAGGCCACTGAATCACTTTCACTCTGTTGTTCTTCAGAAATGCAAGAGTGACCTTTTTTAGAGGTGTGTTTTGGATCATTTTCATGTGGGAAAAGTGCACAACTACTCAGGCCATGGAGTGATGGTAGCATCGTCTTTCAGTATAGAGCAGTACATCTGTGAATTCATGATGCCATCAATGAAATGCAGTTCCTTGACACCAGCAGCACTCATCAGTGCCACAGAAGGACGGTGACACCACCATGTTTCATTGTAGAAACCGTGCATTTTTTTCTTTTTACTCTTCAACTTTGCAATGCTGTACAGTTATGAAGCCATCAGTTCCAAAAAAATTTCATCTCGGTCTCATCACTCCAGAGTACAGAGTTCCAGTAATCTTTTTCAGCTTGGACCCTGGAAAATTCTAGGTGGGCTTTTTTGTGCATGGGTTTTAGGACAGGCTGCCTTTGGATGACACCTATGCATGCCATTCCTCTGCAGTGTACACTACATTGTCATTGAAAACCACCACCCCAGTTTGGCTTTTTTTTTAGCAAACTGCATTGAACGTGCATGTTTGATTTTTCTTCAACCCTTCTCTTCAAAAGAAGGCTCCTGTCGAGGCAGTAAAGTCTGTGGAGGGCCTGCACGTCTCTGTGAGATGGTTGCAGTTTTATCTTTGTTAAAGTTTTGCATCACTTTTGCTTCAGTATTCTGATTGATAAGTCAAGCTTTACTGATCTTGTAGCCTTCACATTATTTTCTTATTCAGGCCTTGGTGCCATTGCTGACAGCATAAAATGGGAGGGGTTTCCTTTGTTAAGTAACACCCTTTTATAATCCACTGTCTGCTGGACACTTGTTTAATGAATAATTAGTTGGACAAGAAGGCCTGGCTCGCAGTCTCCTCTCTAATTCATCCCAAAGGTATTCTATGGGGTTGAGGTCAGGATTCTATGCAGGGCAGTCAAGTTCCTCCACCCCAAACTGGCTCCTCCATGTCTTTATGGACCTTGCTTTGTGCACTGGTGCGCAGTCATGTTGGAACAGGAAGGGGCCATCCCTAAACTCTTCCCACAAAGTTGGGAGCATGAAATTGTCCAAAATGTCTTGGTATGCTGACGCCTTAAGAGTTCCCTCACTGGAACTAGGGGGCCAAGCCCAACCCCTAAAAAAAAAAAACAACCCCACACCATAATCCCCCCCCATAATTCATGTGCAAATCACATGCTATTTGTGTGCGATGCGATCGGAGCCATACCATTTTGTATGGCTCTAATCGCCCCGCACCAAGCACGTGCAGGACCGCCTTTGTTTTTTTGGTCTGTCCTAGAATGGGATCGCATGGGTTTTCACACCTATGCAATCCGATTCTGCACATCCGATTTGCGGACCTCTTTCGGTCCGGTGTTGTTAATTTAACACACGCCTGCAGCTGTTCGCATGAACGGGGGTGCGATTCTGAATTGCAGAAAACGCTGCAAATTCTGCACCGCATCACTGTGAATGCTGGGCTAAAGGAAAAAGTTCTGAAATTCTTTTTGTGTTTTT